ACCCATCCGCCTCAGTGCAGTGGACCCTGCCTTATTTCCGGGGCAGGTCCTTCGTGGGAGAACTTCCCACTCTGCCCCAGAGGGAGTGGGAATGATATTAACATAGGGTCTTGAATGATATTAACATAGGATCTTGGTCCCAGTACAGTTTCCTGAACCTCCCCCAAGGGTAGGGGGGTTCTCCTACCAGAAATGAAGCCACCATGGGGCTGTGCCCTGGGAGTGACACGGTTTGTTGGCCTCAGCTTGTGGCTTAAGACTTTTGCACCACTGAACAGGGGGCTTAGGACAGGGGGTTGGGCACTTTTCCCACAGCAAAAACAGCCCTTTCAGCCCCCACACCACTGAGTGGGTCCCTCTCCTTCCCTCATCCTTCCCCACTCCCTCACCGGAGGAGCACCCTGCGAGCATGCACACAGAAGAGGCGGTCAGTGTGTATAAACTCTCACCTTGTCTGGGCCCCCTGCTATCTCAGACCGACATGCCAGCCCACACTTGGCTCCCAACAATTTGTTAAAACTGAACTGATTTCTTTCTTCTTACCCACTTTAATGAAGGCTGCCCCTTCCTCCAAGTGCTGCCCAAGTGAGCCAGACTGCACATCCTGCCTCTCCTGGGAGGGACCTGCCCTCTTGGAATTCAGGATACTTGATTGCCCTGTGAGCTCAGCTCCCTGGTGAGCTCAAGAAAAGTGATGACTTTGTAGTGCCTGCAGTCTTTTCTCATTGTTAAGTATGAGAGCAAGGCTTTCTGCCTCCTGCCTTCTTGCTGTCCTTAAATCTTTCCTTCCACTGTCACCACCCATTCTCAACCTAATGCTACATGTGTTAGGTTGCTTTTATGGCAACATTCCACTTCCAGGCACCAATTTTTGTTCCTGCCATTTGCTCCTATTGCTGCAGAACGAATCACCATGCTGAGTGGCTTATAACAAAAATTATAATTTCTCATGGTTCCATGGGTTGACTGGTCTCACTTGCAGCATCACGTGGGATTGAAGTCAGATGTCTCCTGGGGCTGAAGTCATCTGAAGGTTTGGCGGGTCTGGGCATCCAAGATTCTCACTCACGTGGCTGGAGAATGGTTAACAGATCCCAGGGTTTCTTTGGCCTAGTCTTAGAAGTTATAGCTGGGTGTGGTGGCTCACACCTGGAATCCCAACATTTGGGAGGCCAAGGCCCAACATTTGAGCCCAAGAGTTTCAGACCAGACTGGCAACACAGAAAGATCCTGCCTCTATAAAAAATTTTAAAAATTGAATTATCCAGGCATGGTGGCTACTTGGGGGAGCTGAGGCAGAAGGATCGTTTGAGCCCAGGAGGTCAAGGCTGCAATGAGCTATGATTATACCACTGCACTCCAGCCTGGGCGACAGAGCAAGACACTGTATCAAAACAAAGTTGCATGGTGACATTTCTGACCATTGATTGGTCACACTGGGCCATCCCAGATTCAACATGGGTGAGAACTATGCAGGGTGTGAATATTGGGAGTTATGGTTCATTGGGTGCTATCTTTGGAGACTAATATCCTGCCTAACACTACATACCAAAAGGGAACTTTCACATTTAGGTCTTAAATCTATCCAAATATAAAGTTAACAACAGAAAAGGGAGTATATTTTTGTAGCAGGGTGGGGAGAGGACTTATCAAAGAAATTTTCAAATGCACAAAATTATAAGGCAGAGGGAAAAAAGATAAATCTTATTACACCAAAATATAAGATTTCTGCCCACAGACATCATGGATCTCATGGAATAAGTTAGTATACAGATGGCAGAATGGGAGGAGATATTTGCAATATCAAAACTGACAAGCAATTAATGTCTAGATTTTATATAAACACCCACAAACCAACTATAAAAAGGAGCACTGTAAATTCTCAAAAATTGGCAAAGGGTATTAAAAAGCAATTCACAAATAGTAACCCCCAAATGGTAACAAGCATATGAAGAGGTTCTCAAACTCATTAGTCATCAGAAAACAATGTAGGGTGAAACAATTGAGAGTAGCAGGAAGTAAACAAATACCTAAGCAGATAGGGCAGGTCCCCAGTGAACCCCACATTCAAGCCAAAAACAGCCTGGACTGCTGGTTTGGGATGAAACCCCTCAACCCAGGGTGAGAACTTCTGTTCCTGTTTGCCCACTCTTTCCTGATTGGTTCTTTCTGAATAACACTTTTTAACCAATCAAATGTTGCCTTTTCTAATACTACCTACAGCCTGCCCCGCCCCGATCCTGTGCCTATAAAACCCCCTAGACTCAGCCACACTGAGGGAGACAAGGCGACCTTCTCGTTCCCTCTCCACTGAGAGCTGTTTCATCACTCAATAAAATTCTCCATCCTCATCACCCTTCAATTGTCAGCATGACCTCTTTCTTCTTGGATGCAGGACAAGAGCTCAGGACCCACCAAACGGCACCCACAAACGCTGTAACACTGGCCGTCTGCCCTCACTGGTGGAGGCAGCTGCCCCACAGAACAGAAGCAGCAGCAGGGCCAAGCTGGTCCTGGAGCCACAGGCCAGAGTGGAGAAAGGGGCTGACAGAGCTGCTAACATGCTGCTGTCCATCAGGCTGCAGATGGTGGAGCAAAAAGAGCTAATTAGCTCTGTAACACTCCTCTCTGGGGCTTCAGGCACCCCTGCCTGGGTGCTGCCACAGTCTTCTTGGGGTGACACACTTGGTCCGGCCATGGGCGCCGCACGGAGCCTGCTCCCGTGTTATGACTCGATGCAGCTGGCCAAACCCTGCATCACTCTCTCAGATGCTCCCTCATGCCAGGGGCTGAGCGTGCAGTTGCGGTGGCCACGTGAGCTGTGGGCTGGAACGCAAACCAGATGTGGCCTGCAAGCTGAATACATAGGGCACTCCCTGCTGCAACCCCAGCAAAGGGGTCAAAAGAAATCCTGCATCACAATAAACTCTTCATTTGATAGCTATTAGCCTGACAAAAAATAAAAAGCTGGCTAACAGGAAGTGTGAGTATGTATGTGTAAGGTTCATATGGAAATAGTACCCCCTCACACTGTGCGGGCGAGAATGAGGACTGGTGTCCCCATTCTGGACATCATCTGGAACTATTTTGAGATACACACCCATGGGGGGAATTGCTGGATTCATAGGGTATGAATATACTTAAGAAACTGCCCACAGCCCTGGGAGCTATTAGAGATGTTCACTGCAGCAGCATTGTTGTTTAACTCTGTGTGTGTATGTGTGTGTGTGCCCACATACTCACGGGTTTGGGAGGTGGTGGTAGCAGCAGAAAGTTGGAGGGAACCTAAGTATCCATCACTGATAGAACAAGAAACCACGGCAGACTCTCATTACAAAATACTAGGCCGCAGTTAAAAGCTACAGATTGAATATACATATAGCAACATGGGTAGATCTTAATTTTCCACTAAATACTCTGTTTTGTAAGAAACAGACTGAGAAATGTAATATATTTACATAATACCATTTACATAAATTTAAAAATACATATAGACGAAACAACACCACAAATTTTGCAAGAACATGTGCAAACAAAAATACACATTAACACATTAGAGAGGCTGCTATGGGCGGTGGCGGCGGGCGGGGGGGAATAAAAATGGAGTACAAGAATAAAAGTTAATAGAAAAAATGTAAAGTGTGAGAGGACTTTTCTAATCTGACTCTAAGACTTATTATAAAGCTATAATAATCAAGACAAGGTCACGTCCTGTCATGATGGACAAACAGATCAATGGAACAGAAGAAAGGGCTCAGAAATAAGCCCACACATATATAGTCAATTGATGTTTTACAAAGGTGCGAAGACAATTCAGTGGAGAAAGGAATAACTGAATCTCCACGTGCAAAAGTGAATCTGGATCTATAACTTGAAGCATACAAAAATATTTACTAAACGTGGATCACAGACTACATGTAAAACCCAAAGCTCTAAAACATAGGAGAAAACTTTTGTGATCTCGGATTAGGCCAAGATTTCTATGCGTACAACATCAAAATAGAAATCCATCAAAGAAGCATTTGATAAATTGGATTTCATCAAAATTAAGAACGTTTGCTCTTTGAAAGGCAGCGTAAGATAATTCAAAGAAAATATTTGAAAAGCACTGCCTGATCATGTCCTTATATCCAGAAAAAAACACCCTCAAAACTCGATAAGAAAACAAACAACCCAATTTCTTTTTTAATGGGCAGGAAATTCAAACATGCTATTCACTAAAAAAGACTTATCCTTAGCAAATAGGTACAAGAAAAGATATTCAATATCATTAGTCATCAAGGAAACTTGATATGCTCATAATCTTGATCTCAGTGATGGTCTCGCGAGGGAAACATTAAAATTTATCAAATTGTACACGTTGAATATGTGCAACTTACTGCATGTCAATTCTATCTAAGTAAAAGATTTTTATAAAGAAATAAATAGGTATTCTGGCGCCCAGGGCCACCCAGCTGTAAGCGGCGGGGTGGGATTCCAACCCTGAAGCGGGCATTTGGAGCCCTCATGCTTCACCCTAGCTCCCTGAAACAAGCTCGGAGGATTGGCTCTGAGCAGCGAGGAAAGTACTGGAAGGAAGCAGGCCGAGCGCGTTCCTGGCTGGGGACGTTAATCATTACCGGAGGGCGGTCCGAGCGCGGCCCCGCCCCGGGACGGCCGCCTGCGCGCCCGGCCGCCGCCTGCCCTCTCCGCCGGCCACCTGCTGCCGCCCGCGCCATGGTGAGTCCAGGGGTGCGCCGCAGCGATCGGGGCAGCGGGGCCGGGGCAGCAGCGGGCGAGGTGGGAGCGGGACAGGGCGGGGGAGGGTCTTTTCGAGCCCCCTGCGGAGCCGCCGGGGTCCGAGAGTGGGGTCTCTGCCCGGGTCCCTGTCGCCAGCGGCGGGGAGGGGAAGCTGTGGCCCTGAGAGGGGCACGGCGGGTCCCGGTCCCAGCCAGTTGGGAGGCCAGGCCTGCCCTGACCCAGGCCAGTGCTTGTTCCCGGACCCTGCTGGGGGCGGGGCCTACGACCTTACAGGGCCGGGGAGGACCGTGGTGGGAGAGTCCGCATATCTCGTCCCCTTAGTGGCCCGATTCGGCTTTATACTGGGGTGGGAGCGACAGGCAGGCTGAGTTTGCGCGCTCCTGTGCGTGCCTGTCCGCGCGCCTTCCCGCTCGCACTCTGGATACAGGGTCTGTCGGCCTGGGACTCACGCTGTGAGCCCGTGTGCTGTCCCGGGCTCCAGAGCCAGCCCCTGCGCCGGTTTGAGGCCCATGCCCGGCCGCGGGGGCTTGGTGGCGCAGGAGCAGCCCTCCTCCCGGGCGAGCTTCCGCCACCCACCCCCGGGGCGGGGGCGGGCCCCTTGCTCTGCTGTAAGCTCGGGAGCTTCTTCAGACCATTTCTGGCCCACAGGCCTTCGGAGCAGGCAAGACTGGGAGGGCCTTTTGAAGGGAGAGGGACTTGGGGGACGGACGATGAGTGGGGCTGTTTGTGAGGGGCGCTGAGGCCCCCAGAAATGCAGGCTTGGGAAATCGGCGACCACTCCCCACACCTCGCCAGAGGAGGCAAGACCTGGCGGGGATTTACTAAGCAAACAGGGCACCGTCCCCTTCTCCAGAGCCGGCACCTGGAAGGTTTGTCAGTTCAGCCCCCGGCTGTGCGACTTGGGGGGTTCCAGAAGGCTCTACCGAGAAAGGGAAGCCTCCTAAGAGCTCACCTGGACTCACCCACCCCTTTAAGAGCCAAGGAAGTAAACAGTGGGCTCTGATGCTTTGGCTGACTTCTGATTGTCTGGATACACGGACCAGGCGGTCAGCCACGGGGAGAGGGCCAGCTCTGGAGTAGAGACCTCCCTACTGGGCAGATGATGCAAATCGCTGCTGCCATTCAATCCCTGTAGCCATCTAGAGCCGAGGAGAGGAGAGGGGCCAAGCTCCCTCAGTCCAGAGAGAGCTCACGTTTTCAGGAGGGAAATAGGAGGGAAAAAAGACGGACTTAGGAAAGCACTGCGATGCTTCAGCTACCACAAATGCTACCAGGCCCATCACAAGCCTACTTGCCTTAGGAGGTATTTTTTTGTAATGCAGATGACATTTGCTTTATAGCAGTGGAGTTTCCTAAAGTGTCCCATTGGCACCTCATGATGATCTGTGGAGGTAGAGGTTCTGCCAAGAGAGGTACAGCCACCTGGCTGGTAAATGGTGAAAGCGGGGCTCAAACCTCCTGCCAATCAACACATGGTGTTCAGTCTGCAGGCTGCCTCATAAAAGCTAAATTAACCTCCCTCACATTCCCTCCCCACCCCTAAGTATTTCTTTTCAATTCAGCACTCTATTTCTGCCCTGGGGTGGTGCTACTCTAGAAGCCTAGGTTCTGGGATCCGTTAAGCTCCTAGACCTGCATCCTCCTAGGATGAAACTGACCCTTGCTTCCTTGCATTCTCTGAGGTTCCACTCATGGCCTGAATTGTGCCAATTTGGGCTGCGTTGAGGGCACTTTGCACATTAGGTAAATAGGACAGGGCACTAGGTTTGCCAGCTGCCTTTGGCCAAGTTCCTTCCACTTTGGGGACTGAGTTCTGTGGCCTGAGCTTCCCAACCAGCCAGAAAAGAGATGGAAAACCAGAGAACCTAGCCCTGGCGGCTCAGGACCAGAGGCTGCCTGGGAGCATGACTGAGGACCACTGCCTGGGAGCATGACTGAGGACCACTACTAGAGGTAGTGCCAACACGGTCAGCTACAGTGTGGCTAAGAATGGGCTGGACACTTATTTTAAATGCAGCTCCTTTGTCCAGCCCCAGGGATGCTGACACACAGACAACACTGCGCCATCCCTGGCTAGGGGAGGGCAGGAAAGAACAGCAGACAAGTCGTTTCCCCTCTCTAGGCCTGTTTCCTCTTCAATACACATGAAAGTTACAGTAGGGACGTGGGGTGCATATGATAAAGTACATAATAGGAAAAGGAAGGGGGGACAGTCATGGTACTCTTCCTCAGAGGTTGTGGAGTAATATATTTGCATCTGGGATTTATTTTGCTTTTACGCCCTCACTGATGTAATAGATCTTATGGAGGGAAGGTCTGTAAGGCTTTGAGGGCAGGGTAGGGGAAGAGTGTGTCTCTGTCCCCGTCATATGAATTGCATTGCTTTTGGGATTTCCTTTCTCTGTGTGGAGTGTAAAACCCAAGACCTGAGAGCCTATCAGCGGACAAGCCTGGACCCCACCTCCTGGGCAGAGTGCCACCCTTGAGGGCTTCCAGCTTATTGCTCAAAGACCTGCTGCCCTTGGTCACCCACGTCCAAAGCAGCCAGTGGAGGCTGGCTAAGTTCCCCTAAAGGCTGGAGCCCCTGTTTTGACCTATAAAAAGAAATGCTCTTGGGCCTCTGTTTTTTCCCCTCTTCTAGGCTGGCAAAGCACACAGGCTGAGTGCTGAGGAGAGGGACCAGCTGCTGCCAAACCTGAGGGCCGTGGGGTGGAATGAGCTGGAAGGCCGCGATGCCATCTTCAAGCAGTTTCATTTCAAAGACTTCAACAGGGTATGGCACCAGGGCAGGACAGAGTTTTCTGAGACTGGGGCTGATGGGGTCACCTTACAAAGCATGTTCTGTCCCTTCACGTCTCGTTAGCCAAGACTCTGAGACCCCACACTCATCCAGTTATTTGGATAACTGTGCCGGGGGGGATATTTATTTTCCTGCCTAATTCAGAAAGTATCATCTTTGGGGACTGGAGAGTAGGAGGATGTGTCTTGGGCTCTGCCTTCCTGGAACTTGTAGCAGCAGTCCTCTGAGGAGATAGTTCAAGTAGAAAACATGCACAGCTGAAGACATTTGAACCGACAGCCAAGACTGGCCAGACCAAAAGCCTGTTGTGGTGTTTCCACCTTGTTGGCGTCCTAAATAGCAAGACTTTCTTCCTACTGCAGGGACAATCTCTAACTCAAGCCTGAGAACCAGTGACAGAATGTCAAGGGGGAAATGATTTAAAGATAAAGGAGTCTCCTGGGGGGAAGTTAATTCATCCTCCTTCGTCTAGGCCTTGAATTGGTGATGTCCAGAAGTCCTTTCTCTTAAAACACTAACCTGGCTCTCGCTCCACTTAAATAGGCCTTTGGGTTCATGACAAGAGTGGCCCTGCAGGCTGAGAAACTGGACCACCATCCTGAATGGTTTAACGTGTACAATAAGGTGAGTGATGCTGTGTGCCTCTGTTGTGCTCTGCCCCCGTCCAAGTACTGCAAACTCTGACACATTCTGAAGGCTTTTGGACTTAACAATGCAGCTTTCTGACCCATAGGTCATCCACTCATCTCATTTCCAATCTCACTGAGATTGCACATGCCTAGAATCAACAAAAATACCCCTGGAAAAAAAATCAGTCTACTATAAAGAAATGCAAATTAAAAGATGCATGAGATAGTTGTGGTTAAAGTAGACATTAAGAAGGCAAAACCCAAGAAAGGAAAGGCTGTGGGAATCAGGCATACTTATTCAGTGTTCATAGTTCTAAATGGCTTTAATCTTGCTGGAGGTATGGAAGAATGAAAAAGTAATGAACTAAGAATACACACACATAGCCAACCTATCAAATTATTTGCTTAATGAATGGAAACAGCCATTAAATATCTAGCATGTGCCAAAAGCTCTGCAGTCTCTGTTTATAAAAACAGTAAGGGTGGAAGAGGCCATCTGTGAATGGATAGTGTTTAGGAGCTGACACTGGTTTTTGGTTTTGTCTTTAGCTTTTAGGTTGCTCTTGACAGTTGGATGTTAAGTTTTTATTCTATAGCTGAGTCACGATTATTTTTGAAAGACAGCAAAGGGGAGATGTAGATGATGTTGTTACAGACATGTCAGGAAGGAGTCCCCAGGAGAGACTGTAGTGGCCAGCTGCTATTCTGGAGCTCCTAGCGGGGCTAAGCCCAGCAGCTGGTGACTCCCTCCTGTTCTTAAGTCAGCGGAAGCAGAATTTCTGGTTTCGTTTCAGGTTCACATCACGCTGAGCACCCATGAGTGTGCTGGCCTTTCAGAACGGGACATAAACCTGGCTAGCTTCATCGAACAAGTAGCAGTGTCCATGACGTAGACCCTGCCCTTCCTCTTTGAATTCTTCAGGGGGAAGGGGTGACTGAACTGGGAATCTAGGGAGGGAGCTGAGGAGCCCCCGGCCTCCCCCTGCTCCCCTCCCAAGACCCAGCTGCCTCCATTGAGGGGTGAGTCCTTGCTGTGGGATATGCCAGTGTCCCCACCAACACCAGGAATTTAGACCTTTTCCCTGCACCACTCTTTTCGTCCTGGGGGCTCTGTTACACTAATTTGAATAAGTTCTCCCCTTTCTTTTCAACTCCCCAGCAACAATGATTTTCTTGCCAGGCTGTGTCTCCCTAATTCTTTTCCCAGGAAGCTGTGATACAGGGTGAAATAAAGTCTTGTCTTAGAAACCAGGACCCTAAACCCCACACTATGTAACAGAAACACATGTGCTTTTATGTCTCAAATAAAACTATTATATCACTTGGTCTCAGACTCTAGAAACTTATTTTCCACAGGTCAATCCAAATTGGAGTCAATAGGCATTTAAATGAAAGCACTTCCTCTGTGCTAGGCACTGTTCACGGTACTGGGAAAAGAGAGGGACCAGACCACCTTGCCTTCAGATTCATTATCATCTAGGGGATATCATTTGATTATCATCACACAGGAACACAAATTAACTATTACCAATTAACAATTAACTAGTACTAATTAACTATTACTAGGGTGAATTAATGCTAGATGGCAGGATAAGAAATGAGCTAAGGGGAACACAAGTGATTAATGGTGAAAAGGGCAAATCTGGAGGCTTTGAGTTATGCCTTGAAGACCTGAGTAGGATTCCTGAGAGGCAGAGATGGCTGAGAGAACACCATGAACACAGATAAGGGTGTGTAAGAGCACAGGTATTATATGCATTGTGGAACCTATGTCTAGAAAGGTAGTCTGGGGCCATATTACAGTTTGAACATTCCTAATTTGAAAATTGGAAATCCAAAATCTGAAACTTTTTGAATGCCAACATGATGCCCAAAAGAAATGCTCATTGGATCATTTTAGGTTTCTGATTTTCAGATTAGAGATGCTCAACTTGTCAGTATAATGCAAATATTCCAAAATCCAAAATCTGAAACACTTCTGGTCTCACACCTTTCAGATAAGGGATACTCAACCTGTGTTTTCTTCCTGGCTGTGATGGCTAATTTTACATGTCAACTTGATTGGGCCATGGGGTGCCCAGGCATTTGGTCAAGCATTCTGGGTGTGTCTGTGAGGGTGTTTCTCAATGAGGATAACATTTGAATCAACAGACTGAGTAAAGCCAACTGCCTTCCCTAACATGGGTGGCCTCATTCAACCGGCTGAAGGCTTGTATAGAATAAAAGGGCTAAAAAGGGTTGACCCTCTTCCAAATAAGAGGGAAGTCCTCCTGCCTGACTGCCTTGAGGTGGGACATTGGTCCTTTCCTGCTTTTGGACTTAAACTGAAACATCCACTCTCCTTGGGTCTCAAGGCTGCAAGCCTCCGGTCTGCAACAATACCGTCTGCTTTCCTGGTTCTCCAGCTTGCCAACCGCAGATCTCGGGACTTGTCAGCCTCCATAATCACATGAGCCAATGCCTTATAAGAAATCTCTTTCTCTTTGTGTACTGGTTCTGTTTCTCTGGAGAATCCTAATACACAGGCCTATCATATCAGATACGGGAGATCTCAAATCCTGATGGTCTCTTCAGATTTCTTAAAATCTTAGCAAAGTTCTTAGGGCTTGCCTGGTTTGACTCCACAAGAGAGAAGACACAGGAGCTTAGGAGCCGGCAGGCTATTTATCACTGGAGCAGTTAAAGAGATGGTTTGCAAAGTCAGTTCCCCAGCCAGGAACTCTCTAGGACAGAATATTCCCACGCTGTGTCATGAAGAAGGGGGCCCTGAGAGCAGCCTCATCTCTACCCCAACTGCATGCTACACAAATTTCACCTCACATATGTCATTATGCAGAGAGACTGAGAAGCCTTCTTCTTAATAGTTCTCACTCGTGTCTCCTAACCCAAGTACTAAGCTGACTTGTAAATGCCAGGGTCCCTTGGAGCAGGAATCTAGCAACGTCACAACTCAACCTGGATGAGTTGGTCCCCCAGCAAAGGCCAGGAAAGGGGCAGAGGCTGGAGGTTGAGAAATAAGCGTAATGTTCTTGTTCATAAGAGGGATTAGTAGGACCCCGTTCCTAGCATATATGCTAGTAAAGGATTATCAATACCTATGCTGATGGCAAACAAGATTCAGACAGTGGTCTCCCATCTGTTCCACTTCTGACTTAAATTTTTCCAAGTGTGCTTTGATCTGATGACTGGCGGATTGGAGGACAGATGCCAGACGCCGAGGTATGGACTATACTGTTACATTACATTCCTGCCTCTGCTTATTTTCATGTGTCAAGGGTTGAAAAATGTTTGCCCAGTGCAGGGACAGCTCATGCCTGTATTTCCAACACTTTGGGAGGCCAAGGAGGGAGGATCATTTGAGCCCAGGAGTTAGAGACTAGGCTGGGCAACATAGAGAAACTGTCTCTACAGAATATACAGAAAAATTAGCCAGGCATGGTGGCACACCTGTGGTCCCAGCTACTCGGGAGACTGAGGTGGGAGGATCACTTACGCCTAGGAGGTCAAGGCTACAGTGAGTGATGATCATGCCATTGCCCTCTAGCCTGAGTGACAGCGAAACCTCGTCTCCAAAAAATAAAGCCAACCTTGGCAGCACTGCAGCTGTATGAAGCACATTTATGTGAGACAAAGACACAGGTAACACTTTTTTTTTTTTTTTAAATAAATAGGTTTATTCTAAAATTAATCCAAATAATTGAAATTCTAGGGAAAGATATTAAGAAGAGAAGAGATTACAAGACAGAGGAAAGCATAAAAGAAAATAAGGCAATTAAAACTTCAACTCAAGAAAAGGTTCTCAAAAATCTGACTTTGCCTACCCAGGTATAGTTGGTGGCTATCAAATTAGGACTCAGTAATTACTTGTGTCACTGGCTGAAAGCTGCTCATTGCTGCCAAGAACCTACAGAGAAGGCAAAGGGGCTTACGTACAGCTGTATGGAGCAGCAATAAGCACCCCAGACATGACTTCCTAGATGAGCCAGGCCTCCTCATCCAAGCATATCCTGGATCCTCCTTCTCTCTGGTTTGCAGGTACTTAGGAACTAGGCCATTTGGCAGAAAACTGTAGCAAAAAAGCAGTCCTTGGTTTGATTCTGGCAAAGTCTGAATGGGCTAAAAGTCAAAAGGAAAAGCTGGGTTATCTGAATGACAGCCTTCAGATCCTGACTAACCCTTTGAAAAACTTCTCATTTCTTATTCATAATAGAATAAGATGTCCAGCAGTTACATGTGTGTGAAGATGATCTGAAGAGCTCTGTCAGCCCCTAAACCAAATGCAGGGCTTGAGGCCAATGCCCTTTGGTTAGACAGAACCACATTGCCCAGACGGCTAGAGACCACCCAGACAGCTCAATCCATCATTAAGTTATTGTAAGCAGCAAACTGTAAGCATAAGTGGATGATGAAGATGGAAAAAAATGTAAGATAGGGCCTGTCCCTGGCAAACTAAGAACGTGAATTTCAGACCTCTCTGAAATACGTATGACTACCACCCCCAGTACAGGGACCAATCAGCAACCTGTTAAAATGCCTGGAAATGAGATGGATTGCTGCTTAACTGTGTCTCTCTCATTGCTCGTGGTATCAGTGGGCACACACGACCATTTCACCACCAGGGGGCAATCTCTCACCAGGAGCCCATTCAAGCATGGCCACTGCCCCATTTGTGATCTCGTGTGTGCCCAAGTAATCATGAATGCAACCATCCACAGTAATTACAATTAGGGTCATTTAACTATTTAATTGCTTTTTGAGATTATTGCTGAAATTAGGAAAGGAGCATTGAAATGGTAAGGGGGAGGTTAGAGAAGACAGATTTAAAAGAAGCAAGTACCTTTTTCCAAGTATAAAACTCGTAATATTAAAAGTGACTCAGCAGTGTATTCACATGACTACTTAAGTCTGATGCAGAAACAAGACAGTACAGTTTTTGCAGAGGCCGATGTGACATCTGCATACAACATGATACTATTAAGACACTCTACCCACCTCTGCTACAGAGTAGCTACTATATGCACGCATACACAAAAATACAAAATGAAAAGCCTATAAAAGTCTTAAGTCAAACTAAGGCTCTTAATTGTAAATTAAAGTGGCTACAGTAGGTCCCTTTGAAAAACACCATCTCCCCTGGCACCAATGTTGTCACAGCACAGAGGAAGCGAGTGGCTCAGGGTCTGGTCCTGGGGAGACACTCTATAGGGGCACATGCTTCTCCATTTTGGCGGCTGGCAAGCCACAGTGGTGTCTGCTGGGTGGCTCTGGGTTCCTGGACCTCATCCAACATAATGCACTGACCACACAGCTCTGACCACAGCTACTCTCAAAGAGGTACCTGCCAGGTCTCCCTCTGACTGACACACACACACACACACACACACAAAACCCACTCTTGGATCCCACAATGCACTGTGGGGCAAACAGGAAACACACACACACACACACACACACACTAATGCCACACCAGCCCTGAATGGCATGACCAGCTAGTCACAGTTGTTGGGTTAGTAGTACAGTGCTCAAGAACACTTCAGACTAACATGCCAAGGAGCCTGAGGAAAAGTCTGGTAGTCACGGCTCTCCCAGCCAGCATTCCCAGTGGAGGAAACTAGAAGATACCAGCTTGAGGAGGCTGAATATTCAGGAGTCCCTGAGATGGGGAAAGGAACAGAGGAAAGTGTCTCCTGACTCGTCTTAAGTACTGCCCTCCCCAAATAGAAACCTCAAAGACTGATCCATTTCCCCTAGGGCCTGGGCCAGGAGTAGCTCACTGCTCACTGCTGTGGAGAAAGGCACATGATATGATGTCATTAGAGCAAGACAGTGGCTCAGCCTACAGGAGAGTTCCCTACAGGGGAAAGAGGGCAGGAAGTGGGTGCAGGGTCTGGTCCTGTCCCTGCACCACCCTGAGCAGCTAGTCTTGGGAAGGGATTACAGGCCCTGGGCCATAGGCTGCTCGCCATTCTGCTTTCCTATCCTGTTTCTCTCCCTGTACTGCTCCCTTTTAGCCAGGGCTGAGAACTGTCCAGCAACTGAGGCAAAACTGCCATAGTACCTCTGAAAGCTGAATCAAGGGGGAAGAGGCAGAAGAACACACTAGTAGAGAAAATTTTCCTTGCTATGGGTGCTCTTTCACACCCACCTAGGGTAAGTCAAGGCAACTTGTGAAGGTGCTTTGAGCTGTTCCTTCAAGCAAACATATTTTCATTACATAATGGCTTAAGGGTACAGGGAAGGATCACCACCAACTTTGGTGACATATTTGAATCTGGGTGTTCATCCTACTCTGATATTCAGAAAAGCATAGAAAAAGGCCTGGTGTC